AGACTCCCGGGAGGCATAAATCAGCATAAATACCATACACACACGCGTGTAAGTATATAATAGTAATTGCCATTGCTTTCAGCCAAAGCGAGGAAAAGTAAAAGAGGAGGGTGGAGGGGGAAGATCCGACAGTCGCGGGGACGAGCAAGGGCCACGCGGTTCCCATAAGCCGGGAGAACAGTTTCCCTCCGTTGCAGTGTTCCTAATCACACTTCGCCGGCCGAACGATAATGGAGGAGGGAACCGAACGAGAGACCCTTGGGCGCTAACGGCACATGTTTGCTTGCGCACACACACGAGTACACCTGTACATGTACATAATATATATACGCGCACATGTATACCATAGAAAAGCTCTCAGAGCGCGCGGACCGAGAAACGACTTCCGGAGTCGTCGTCGCGAGGGGTGTTTGTCAACGCATAGGCAGACCCGTCCTCTGTTTATCTTTGATGTATACAGGTGCCGGCTTTACACGTAGCAAAGCAGAGATATTACGTAAATCTCAACTCCATTTTTTTCTGAACCTGCTGTCTTTATTCGAGGACTCGTTGCAAATCTTTTGGATGTCTCTCTCTCTCTCTCTCTCTCTCTTAAAAGTCATTAAAGAACATGACAGCCGCTTGAATTCTTAACTAATTTTTCTTTTAGTTTTAATTTATCCACATCAATTATTTATAAGCCTAGCTCAAATTTTAATATTCAGTATTAATTCAGCATCTACGACGTATAGTTTGCATTATATTTATCTTATTATTAAGTACTTTTTATTATTATTTATTATCTAACTAACAATTTACTCATTTGTATGCGATATTACTTGCTTAACGCAATGTAATAGGACTCGCTCCTTATTAAACCTCTGCAAGCTGTCTGAAACAGCTATGTATACATTGCAAGGCTATACTTTGGACCGTTGGTCCTTAGCCTAATAAAACTGCTCTACTCTACTCTACTCTCTCTTCCAGCTCGTTTCATGGAGAGCTTTTTGTACACTTCAAGCGACCGGATTCTCGCCTCTCAAACTGACTTTATCTTTATTTTTAAATGACTCAGTGATCATAAGTGCTATGAATCGACACCTTTTACTTGCAGTTATTACTTTGGCTTTATTTTTCTCTTAATCCAGTATAATTATTAACCTTTAGATAAATTAACTTATACATTTTTCTATTATATTTTATTTTTTGTTTCGAAGAAGCTATAATAACACTAAGCTGCCTGTACTTAGTTATATATGTTTAGTGCTTGCAAGCACAAGTAGATTGCTCATATTTTGAGCCTTGTATAATGCTTAGGCTATTAAGGACCCTGAGTCCTTAGCCTTAAATAAATTTAATCTTTAATCTCTTGTGAACAAACGATGCTGTTGCTGTAATCCAAGGGCCGTGACCTAGAAAACTTGATCGGTAACAGAGCTAACGATAAAAAAAAAAAAAAAAGAAAAAGAAAAAAATCCCCGAACGAAATAAGCAAATCAGATCCGCGAGCGTGCCCGCATCCAATAAATCGGCAAGGAGAGAGCACCGTGTTGAAGTAGCGAAAAGAGAGAGAGAGAGAGAGACTCCACCGGCACGATAAACTAAATAAACAGAACGGTACTTTATCCGCCAATAAAATTCTCTAATAAAGGCCCGCTGCTCTGCACCCCCCCCCCCCAATTTTTTTTTTCCTCCGTTTAATCTTGGGCCCGCTTGACTATATACAGAAACATAATGAGCGGCACGGCCATAATCAGCTCCAACGAAGGCACAATGCTCTCTCCCTCCCTTTCCATACAAAAGTCCGCACCGCGTGGCCGTACGAGTATATACACACACAGAGGCAATATCGCGATAAAAAGGTACTTACGTGCTTGCATATTCAAAAGCGCGGCAGCGGCGTATCGATTACGCGCGGTCGACCGGTATTATTTGCGCGCGAGTACGGCGGCGCGGACAAAGTGTACACGTCCGTGAATCGGTACAGTATACACGTATATATACGTATATAAATGGGAGGGAATCGGTTTCGAAATCGGGTCGCGCCAGCGCCTTGACATTGTAACCGCATACGAGTTGTATATATATATGTACGTTCGAGCGTTTGCGTGCCCTCCTGGCCCATTCACCGATGTTTACCTCATGGAGGCGGTCGACGCGCGCGTTTCGACTTTGTTTCGCACTCGTATACGGCATGTAATATCTTGGCTCGCATTTTTTGTCCGTTTCAATAAACGAAGCGACTTTTCACATCTAACAACGCGGCTCCACGTGGTTAAAATTTTTTTCGTAGTTTACTCAGTTACGCTGATTAAACGTCACACTGAGAGAAAAAAGTTATAAAAATAATAGAGCGATTCTAGCAAATATTACCATTCTGCACAGTAAAGCGAATGCAAGCTGGTAAAAAAGGGAAAAGTTAACACTTTTAATGATAAAAATTGTTGTTTTAATAATAAAAATTGTAGTTGGAATAGTTAGAAATATGTGAAAAATTTTACTTTCCCGCATGGTGATTTTTACCATTCGGGCCATAATTTTTATCTGTTACAACAATAACATTTACGTTTAAAAAATAATAACTTTTTGCTTTTTTGCCAGCTTACATTCGATTAATTGTGAAGAATGGTAATTTTTTCCTGGAATTTCTGTATAATAATAATAATCATAATTTTTTTTTCTCATTGCACAATCACACACATATTTTCGCGTCCGTCAATTTAACCGGGGATGGAGCTGTTGTAAGTACATGTAGCCCCGTAATTTTCCCCGTATTTTCGAAAATCGTGCAACGACGAGTAACTAGGGATTTCGAAAAAAATCCCTGCACACGAAAGTCACTCCCTTCGTTGGGCGCGTGCGCTCGGCAATGCAAAAAAAAAAAAAAGCGTAATCGTCGCGAAATGATTCCACCGCGACTAAAACAGCCTATGCAGGGGCTGCCACGGGGCAAGATTTTCCTTCAGACGGGAAAAAAAAAAAAACAAAAAAAAATTCCCATTACGGTAACGGTATTCTAATCACTCTATTCCAGTGGTTCACCCAAGAAGGGGGAGGAGGACACAAAAAAGCGCGAGTCCACTTATCATCCTCCACCTCCTCCGAGCGCCTCCTCGGGAACCAGTTACACCGAGCAACAAAAACAACGACATCTAAATCAAGCACGACAAAAAAAAAAAAAAAAAAAAAAAAAAAAAGAAGGAAAACCCTCCCACGGAGCTCGGCTCGGCCGTAACGAATTCGTCATCAAGCGCGCACGCCGGCAGCAGGTCCATTACTCATCGCGCACCACGAGCTTGAAATATTTCTGCAGAGCTAGCCGAGGGGGGACAAATCACATTATAATAATTCCCGCGAACGGAGGCCTCGTACTCTCTTGAGATGCAAGTCCGCTTCCTCGAACGGACGACCGTAGGTACACTACCGAGTGCGCGAAAATCCGGCAGATCATCCTTCACGCGAGTAGTGTGGGGAAGGGAAAGCTCGTCTTTTTTCGTTAAAAATCTCGGCAAGTATAAATAAGAAACGGAAAAATATAACTCCCCCCCCCCCTCTCCAACGTGTACGTGTACCCTAGACACACACACGCAATAAAGTTCTCCGAGCTCGTGCTCATGTGGCAGAGGAGTAACACGTAGAGTCGCAGGGGCGCGGGGATTCATTATGATTAGCTCGCACTCGTGTTATTTACTGCCCGTATATACACACGCGCGCGCCACTGCCTCGTAAAGCGACTCTTAACGAGCGTACATTTGCACGCGCGCCCGATGTTTTGTATATATGTGTATATATATGTATATGCGGCAAAGATCGCGAAAACGGCCCTTTCCGACCCTCCTCGGAAGAGAGAGAGAGAGAGAGAGAGGAGGGGAAAAAAGCCGGGAGTTTTCCGAGATAGCGTGGGAGGATCCGGCCGCACAATGGGCGTGCGCGCTCACCGCTCGTTTAACGCTCGCGCGGAAATCTGGAATCCCGGGAGCGCCAAGTGCTTCGCGTGTACGTATACACACAGCATATTCCATTGCAAGGGTGTATGGGCTCAAGTATGCAGACTGCGATAATTTGTCACGAGCGAGTAGTGCTGCGAATTCCGTGGCGCATTCCTTTACGTATATATTGTATATATGTACAAGAGCGTGGCTCATAATGTGGGAGACTTTTCAGGCTTTTTAAACAGGGTGGGATATTAAGTGAAAATTCAAGATCCCGAAGAATTCCGGGGGTCAAGGTGGTTAAGTGTATGCGATAGGTGTACCCATGGCTCGTCGAGTATATAATATACCATCGAAGCGAATCGATGATGACCATAGAATGCCATGACAGGCTTACCTTTGTGCGATACAATGCACTGCGAGGTGTGAGCATTTTAAAAGAGCCGTGGGCTAACGGACAAGGATCGCGTACGGCAACAGCTCAAAATCAATATTTCCGTAACGGTATCGGCATATATACACGTGCGGGTGCGCGACTCGTGTCTCTCGAGTGTCGAACGTTTTGGGAAAAACTCGAAAGAAGCCTGTCTAAATTTCACATCCAGGTATGTTTCGAGAGAATATCATACACTAGTCGGACATTGATCAGTTCAGAGATGATAGGTCACACGTTACGGGAGCTGCAGACAATAAGAATTTCCACTTAACGAATTAACGCCTGACTATGGTGCACTTGAAAAGCAAACTCGAAATGTATGTATGTAGGCATATGATCTTTGAAGTAGGTAACCCGTGGCTGAATGGGTCATCATTTATTGAACAAGTTTCTCTGGTATTACGGGGCTTTGATTCCTCTTTCTGAAAAATTTCACTCAAATCAATCGTCATTGAATAAAATATAAGACCAGTAAAACTCGTAGATGCCAATAAAATAAAAAATACAAAAATTGTCATCCATGGGGCGCGCAAAACAAAATTGTATTCGCACGTCTTGCAAGTACATAATCCTACGTTAGCTTAGTTGTAAGAGGGGGAAAAAAAAAAACCAAGTGAAACAATGAATTGTAAAACCTTCCGTTTGTTCCACAGGTGGCGACATGTCGGCGCTGAGTTCCGGGCCCTGCCGACCCGGGATCGTTGTCTACCTGGCTTACTTCGTCGTCCTCGCCCTCTGCGCGCCCACCACGCATTCCGGTAAGTACATCACACATGCACGCTTACATCCAAAACGAAGGAGGAGGACGAATTCCCATGTACAAGCACACACTGGGCTCTCGAGTTGTGTCCACATATGTGTGCACCCAACCATGCACCCACCCTATTATCCCTCCTTGTCTTCATTAATCTTGGATCAGCCCGTCCGTTGCAAGAGGCTCCATTCACGCGCGCGCGAGGGGGCCGCATTTATCAGTATCAGCGTGTACAAGTACTAACCCCCTCGAGAGAGGAAGAGACTCGCTCTATACCCACGACGCGCCTGGACAAAGGACCTTGTGAATTATGAGGCGCGCGCTAGCGAGAGAGAGAGAGAGAGAACGTACACACTCGCAGCACGCGAGTCGGGGGAAATTAATTTTCGTAATCGATACGCGATTGCCCGGCACCTTACGCTCGTCTCCGAGTCCTTCGTTTATTTCCGACTGTGTGTTTGCTACGCCGCGCCTCGAAAAAGCTGCCCGTCATTTTCGTCTTTCCTCCGCGACTTGTGCACGCGCAATAAGAGATATTTTTTTCCCCTATTCACTCCGGTTCCAGATTAAATTTCAGCCAAGGATCGGCAAGTTACGAGCGAGAATGTATTTTTGGAGCCAAGTCAAAGAATGAAAACAGCCAGAGAGCAAAGTGAAAAAAAAAAAAACAAAAACGTTAATGCTTCCAAGCACATAATTTATTTGTACACACCTGTTTAATCCAAATAGCTAACCAGAAGATCCAGCCTCCACGCGGTGTAAGTACTCCGCTCTTACTCTCTCTCTCTCTCTCTCTCTCTCTCTCTCTCTCTCTCTGGCACTATATTTATCTTCGCTGCGCGTTATGCTTTACGTTTGACCGTACATATACATATCTTCACCTGTTTGTATATATCAGGTGTTAACACGCATTCCGTACTCGCGAGCGAGCCGGCTTGTTCATTTATTCATAATGTATGGTACTGTGTTGTGCGTATACGCGCTGCGCCCGATGAATTTGATGATTTCGCGCTCGGAGATACGAGACGCCGAACGTTTTATCGAATATATATATATATATATATATATATATATACATCGAGGTTCGGTTCGACGTTGTAACGTGCGTGCTCTGTCGACCGTATGCGTAAAAAGGATATGGGCGTACCAGTATAGTTTCAAAGGTATATACTTACAAGTAGAAGCGGAAATATACTTACGTGGTGTTTTTTTTGTTTTTTTTTCGTTCGTTCCAATATCTGGGCAATAGTTCTTATTACCCGCGATTACATCACACCGATGCGCGTACATAATGAGCGAGGAGGAAGAGCGCGATTAAATTACCCGATGGGGTGTAATGTCCACTGCTCTCGCCGGGGAGCAACAACCGCGGTCCGTATACAAACATACATACTCATATATGAATTTCCCTCGGCGACGGATATATGTATTATTTTTACACGGGTTGTCCGTGCCGGCTAACAGTAATGTTTACTCGCGGAAAGGGAGGAGATACCGCGGTATACTGAGCGGGCACGTGAAGCGTGCATCGTATCGGGTGTCGAAGTAAACAAGCTCCGAGGAATCCTGGGAGGAAAGAGGATTCGATATGATACAGGCAGCGGTAGTGCTTTGCCCTTTCTGTTCCCATGAGTGCTTTTTTTTATCCCCTCATGGACGATGAGCCAAACGGTACCGATCACACGTTCGCTCATATTTACAACTTGGGTAATGTTGTTGCAGGGGGTATGAAAGTCAAGGGGTATGACGTGTCTGGGCAAGTAATTTATTCAATCTTCACAAAGACGAGTAGCCTTTGCCTTGGCCGAACCACGTGAAAGCTCATTAAAATATTCAGTCCGAAAATTGTCTGGTCCTTATCGTAGACAATAATGACACCTGGATGTCCACACTAAACGAAACAGTGGAATAAATCGAGCCACGGGAAACCGCTATAGTTCCAGGATATATATCACATTACACAAAGAACAGTGGAAAAGTATGAGCTTGCTACACGGATGGTCATATTGGCATTTGTCAGTGGCACGAGGGATCTCAAGAGACACTTCTATTACTTGTGTATAACAAACAAAGTTAACGTAAGGTGTAGCACAAGCTCATCCATATTAAATAACGTATGGACCAAACCAAAAGATTCAGCGACGCTCAAGTATGAGGGTGGAAGAGACGATCACGAAGAAAAGGTCGGGCCGATGAGTTCGCGTGGCAAAAGTATGCTGACAGTGAGAAAGGGAGAGAGAGAGAGAGAGAGAGAGCTTGTTGTTCGCGCTGTAAGTATACCGGGAGGGCAGATCGCGCTTCCGTTTGTCCTATACGTGTCTGGAGCCGGTTTTCCGTCGCGCGCGCCCGCGTGCACTGCCCTATCTCCCTCGCAGTTCCAGCGCATCCTCTCTCTCTCTCTCTCTCTTTCTACTAGCAAAGTAACAGAGTAGCAAAGACTGGCGCACGTATAGTTTCTATAGGGGGAAAGAGCCAGAGATGAGAGCAGGGCATGGAGCTTGGGGTGAAGGACCCGTTGCCGTATGGCACACAGTCGTACGGCTCTGCCTGCATGGCAGACATCTCGACTGCTGTATATTGCCGTCCTTCCGTCCTATACGTAGACTCTCAGGACTCTCTGTGTACGAAGGGGCTTGCTCCCTGGCTCGATTGCTCCAATATACCTGCAGTATTTAACCATGAAATCGAGTCACGTACGGTCAGGACCTTCTCTCCGTCCGTGTCATTCGCGCCCTCTGGAATAATGATACGCAATACTTTCTCTTACCCTCGCGCTTTTACGGGTTCTTAAAAAAGCCAACTACGTTATTGACAATCGTTGTGTATATACACTGATGCATATGATGAGATGCGCTTTGTTTTGTATAGAGTACATCCCTTCAAACTCGCTATACCCTGCAGCTATGATTTTTTTTTTTTTTTTTTTCCTGAAAGTCATTCATTCGGCTTGTATCGCCAGCAAGAAGGGACGGGGTGAACAATTTTTCCCTCTTCTTATCCTCATTTCCTTTCTGTATGCAACAGCTTTGTACGCGTACTTTGTGGATGTACGAGTGCACTCGAGTAGTGACTTCGAATGTATATACAATATATGCACCCCAGTGTACGTTGGCAGGGTCCTCTCGAGAGGAAACGTGGAAACGAAGCGAATTTTTTTCTTTTTTATTTTTTTTTTTTTTTTTTGTATTGTATCATTTCGTACACGAACGCAGCTTTTTTTACAAGCACCCTTTATCGCTCTGACTCTCTGCCTTGGGTTGTATATTTTGCCATCTGTCATCAGACAAATGATCGTGCAAGTGTGTCATAAAAAATACCATTTATTTTTATTGCATTTCTAGTCTCCTGGGTGAAATGTTTAACAATACTGAGCTCGTGTTTTCTTTTTTTCGTGGGAAAACAAAAGTCACGCAAGGTTTTATCCCTTTTCTTTTGATAATCTACTTTACAAGCTTAATATATTTTCTCATGCAAAGACCAAATCTTGGGTGCTACAAATAGACCTGATGAGTCAAAAAGCTCGAGAAAATAAAAATAGACGCATATATGCACACCAGAGCAAAAGTGATAGATTGTATTCAAAACGAAACGCAAAATACCGTTTGGGTGTGGTGAATTAAAAACCATTTTTGCTGTAAATAAAAGTATATACATAGGCAAGCGAGTAAATGTACTTATTACTCGTGATCCAGGCAATCGTACGGCTGGAATTCCTGGCAATGAAGTTACTCGAGTGGAGGGTGCGTGCAAACGCAGGAACTTCAAATGATTCTCCAATTACTCTTCCCATACACTTCCTCTCGCCTGCACCCTCCTACCGACTAAACTGCAGATTGAAAACTTCAATTTCCAAGTCAGAATACGTATCCTCCCCCCCCCCCATACATGGTTTACACTCAAACTCAATTTCATATCTAACCATTTTCTACATGTGCTACACGCAGTTACGTGTGCACGTATCAATTTTGCAAATCATACGCATACTTCATTTGGTTGGTCAGCTGGTGTACGTGCATTGACGAATGATCAATAATTTTTTTACTGTAATTGTTGTTTACTGAAGTTAATTTATTATAAATAAAATAAAATATTTTCAAAAAACTTGAAAACAGATGCTATAAGAAATTTCATGAAATATCGGTAAAGTTTGGAAATTTGAGAGCAACTTTATAGCTGGATGGATAATATATCGTTACAAAATCGTAACCAATATTGTACAGTTATATTATTACGAAGTGATCCTCAAATTTGGGGACATTTTTTCGCAACTACCTAAAATATATAGAATATGTATACTTACACCCGTGGCACAAGGGTAAACACGAAAATTTAGAAAATTTACAAAGTCTCTGATGTTACAGCAGCACATTATGTATAACATCGCGCTAACTGCACTTATTATGATGCGCTTGATTTCTAGGAACAGCCCCTCTTAACACTTACATGGATATATTGTAGGCAATGTGTATCATAGTAAATAAAATGGTTGGTGGTTGAGAAAATTTTGTACATGCAAAATGACCCTTACTTACTCTCTACACAACAAGGGTGAGTCTGGTGAAGGAATTAGTATGGATTTGAAACATTAAATGGTGTTAGAATGTCAAGTACTCACCTTGTGGCAGCAGAAGCAGCTTGTGGTAATCGTTGTCTCCGTCGATCCATCAGGGTGATAGAATACTTCGGTGATGTACACATCTGAAACAAATTAATATTTTTTAATTATGATAACATTTGAATTAAAAAATTTGCGCTTAGGAACAAGTGACGCAAAAAAGAGTGAAGGAATGATGACCCCCGTTTTTGTATCCCTATGTATTTGTATAAACAAAGTATCTCAAAGCCCCATCACAAAGCAAAGCAATGTCTCTTTGAGGCTGCACACCAATCCACTAATAACTGTTATATACATTGGCCATATACGTTCCCGTGAACCTCGCGGCTAATTTTGATGGATGACTTTCGACCCACGGAATGTCCTACAAGTATACGGGGTACGTACAC